GATTCCCACCCAAACACTTTGGGATTCCACAATTTCCCACCCAAACCAGTCTGGAATTCCATGTTTCATTGGAGGATGCTGCTGGGATGGCTCCAGGATGGGTTTTCCAGTTTCTCATCGGATTAATCCTGTGGGATGCAGCTCCATGGGATTAAAGGAATAAATCAGGGATCCAGGGAATGCTCAGAGCCCCTTCCCSATTCTAAAGGGGCTCCAGGAGAGCTGGAGATGGAAATTTGGGATAAGGGATGGAGGGATGGGACAGCGGAAATGGATTCCACTGGGAAAGGGAAGATTTGTTGGAATCTTGGGAAGGAATTCCCGGCCGGGCTGAAATTCCCAGGGAAGCTGGGGCTGCCCCGTTTTAGGAGGATTTGTGGGATTTGCCGAGCCTGGGATGTGCAGAGCCATGTCCTGGGTGGGGATTCCAGATTTTGGGAACATTTCCTGCCTGGAAAGAGCCGCCCATCCCTGGCTCAGCTGCCCCCATTCCYGGAGGGATTTAAATCCCTGTGRATTTCGGATCGGGGTGGCCTTGGCAGCACTGGGGATGGTTGAGCTCCGTGAACTCTGAGGGTTTTCCCAACCCCAAGGACTTGGAATAATTCCAAGATTTTGGGATCCTGAACCCCAAGGAAAAGCAGGGCTGATGCTCCATTCCCACCAGGATGGACGAGGACGAGCTGTACTTCCACAGCGACGAYGAGCTCCTGGGAGAGGGGGATTCCCTGAGCCAGGGCTCCCTGGACACCAGGTAGGGAGAGCAGTGCCGCTCCTGTCTTTTCCCAATGGATTTCCCACAGGATCATCCCAGAATTCCCATTCCCGGGCTGCCGGCGGGCAGGGGAAGTGATGGAACAGGRAAAAGCAGGAAAAAGCAGGAAAAGCAGCCTGGGAATGGGATCCGGGATGGAGATCAGGATCTGCCGTGCCTTTGAGGTGTCTCCAAATCCCGGGATCCGGCATTCCCGTGGGAATGAGATCCCTGAGTGTGCGTGAAGGGTGGTTTGCTGTGGTTTTTTTTTGGAGTGCTGGAAGAGATTGGGAAGAAGGCAAAAAAACGGGAATTTCAGGGAAAAGCCAAGGATCGCCCCAAAATTAGGTCAGCCACGGGAAGGAGGGTCTTGGGAAAATTTCCTCAATTCCTGTAGGATAAGGGATGGCGGGAAGCGCATGGAGGTGCTCGGAATGATGGGATTTAACCCTGGCTYTGCCTTGGATGGGGCAGGGTTGGAATGGGTGATCCCTGTGGGTCCCTTCCAAAGGAAAATATCCCGTGGATCCCATCCCATGGATGAAATCCCGTGGATCCTGTCCCATCCAATCCCATGGGTCCCATTCTATCCCATCCCATGGATCCYATGGATMCCATCCCACAGATCCCATCACATCCCATGGATCCCATCCCATGGATCCCATCCCACGGATCTGATCCCATCCTATCCCATCGATCCCATCCCATCYAATCCCATGGATGTAATCCCATGGATCTTGTTCCATCCAACCCCATTGATCCCATCCCATGGATCCCATGGATCCCATCCCATCCCATCCCATGGATCCCATCCTATCCCATCCTATCCCAGCCCATGGATCCCATCTCCATCCCATCCCATCCCATGGATCCCATCCCATCCCATGGATCCCATCCCATCCCATGGATCCCATCCTATCCCATCCCATGGATCCCATCCCATGGATCCCATCCCTTTCCGTGGATCCCATCTCCATCCCATCCCATCCTGGAGAAGGCACAGCTTCTCTGGGAATTCCATCCCAGCCCCTCCCCACCCTCACAGGGAACAATTCCTTCCCAAAATCCCATCTAAACCCATCCACGTTTTCAGTGCAAATCCTTTCCCTTTTCCTGGCATTCCATCCAGTCCAAAGTTTGTTCCCAAACACGGGGACCTGATTTCATTCCCATCTTTGCCTGGTTTAATTCCCGTATTTTCCAGTAACTTTCCCAGTGATCCCAGGCATTCCCATCCCTGTTTCGCCTTTCTCCCACCCCATTCCCAGCCTGGAGCCCCTTTTTCCTCCTCGAAAATCCCTTGGGATCTGGGCACAGCCATCCCCGAGAGGGCTGAGCCCAGAGATCCCGAATTTTGGCAGCTCTGGAAGCAGAGGAAAATCCCTCTCAGTCAGGTCCAGCCTTGTGCCCTTTCCCGTGGAGCAAAATCCACACCGAGGATTTTGGGAATTGTGCTGTGGAGTTACCACTTTCCGGGAAATTCCATTTTTTCCTGGGCGCTTTCCTCGGCCTGTGACGGATCCAGGCTGATCCCATCCTCTGGCACAGAATTTCTACCTTCATTCCCTCTTTTTGGGTGTCCTTGGGAATGCGTGACCCTCCGATGTCCCCAGATCCACCTCTGCTGGGGRATTCCCAAAAATTTGGGAATTTCTTTGTAAACAGGATCTCTTCTGTGAATTAATCCCATGGTTTTCCAAGAGATGGGAAGGATTTTCAATCACCAGGATGATGCCAGGGATTTCCAAAGGTTTCCAGGGGTTGGGAATACCCTTTTCCTCCTTCCAGGAATCCCAGCACAGGGTACAGCACCCACCCACCCCTGCTTTTCCTTTGGGATTTGAGCAAATCCATCCCAAACGGARGGAAGGATCAGGAAAAGGAGACAACAGCTTGGGAAAGGTGGAATTTTGGCCAAAATCCCCGAAAATCCGATCTGGGAATGATTTTTGGACACAACTGGAAGTGGCGTGGGGGAATCCCGGGATTCCAGCCCTGCATGGAGTGCTGTGCTGTGCCGGAATTGTGTTCCCAAATTTTCCTGGTTTATAAAGCGATGGAAGAGCCCTTTATCCACACATCACAGCGGGAAATTTTCCTCTCTCCCTGTAAATCCCCAAGCCTTGGAGACGAAGCGGAAGAGGATCAGCATTCCAGGTAAATTCCCACAAATCCACCTCCAAAGTCCTGTTTTCCAGAGAATTCCTCAAATCCGGGATTAGACATCAAAACATCAACATTTGGATCTGTTAATTCCCGTTTTTGTGTTTCCCAAATTCAGAATTTGCTCATCCCGCCCAGAATCCAGGGATGAAGGAGTCAGGAATGGGAGGTAAAACCTCCCCATGGGTCAGGTCCCTGGAATGGCTTTGGCTCCTCGATCCATCGGGAACTGTAACCAAACAGTTCCATGGAAAAATCACGGGAAAGGATCCAGAATGGGGGGAAAAACAAAATCCAAACTGGATAAAAAATTCCGGGAGATGGGAAGACATTGGAACCAGGACGGGATCCCACAAAAAAACTGGACTTGTGTTCCAATGAGGAAAATAGAAATGAACAGGAAAAATTTGATATTGGGAAGGAATTCCTGGCTCGGTTGGAATTCCCAGAGAAGCCCCTGGAACTCTGGGAGTGTCCAAGGCCAGGCTGGAGCACCCTGGGATCATGGGAAGTGTCCAAGGCCAGGCTGGGGCACCCTGGGATCATGGGAAGTGTCCCTGCCCATGGAATGGGATGGGATTTAAGGTCCTTTCCCACCCAAACCATTCTGGGATTCTACAATTCCACGATTTATTTCCCAACGCAGACTCACCCTTGGATTCCCAGGAAAAGCAAAGAGGGACGGGCACTTCCAGAGGCTCAGGGAGAGCAGGAATTGCCAAAACCTGTCTGAGCCCAGCTCCCAACCTGATGGAAACTGAGACCTCGGGAAGCAGCACCCGATAGGGGCTGTCCTTGAAATATTCATGGCGAGGACRGAGCTCGGAGCCGACAGGAATCTGCTCCCGGTGAATTATTGATGGCAGCTTTTCTTCCGTGTCCCGGCGGATCCGAGCCTTGTCCGACCGCCTGTCGCTAATTATCCCTCTGGCACCTGCTCCAAAGCTGGGATCCGTGCCAGGCACGGGAGAGCTGCGGATGAAAATCCCCGCAGGCAGCCCAGGCGTTTCTGTTCCCAGTCCCAATCCCTTTTCCAGTCCCATTCCCCCTCCCATTCCCCATTCCCACTCCCTTTTCTGTTCCCTTTCCTACTCTCATTCCCCACTCCCATTCCTATTCTGATCCCCATTCCCACTCCCATTCCCCCTTCCCTTTCTCCTTCCCTTTCCCATTCTCATTGCCATCCCCATCTCTTTGTTGTTCCCATTCCCCATTCCCCATTCCCATCCCATTCCCACTCCCATTCTCATTCCCACTCCCTTTTCTGTTCCCTTTCCTACTTTCATTCCCCATTCCCATTCCTATTCCCATCCCCAGTCCTATCCCCCATTCCCTTTCTCATTCCCTTTCCCGTTCTCATTGCCATCCCCATCTCATTCCCGTTCCCACTCCCATCCCCCATTCCCACTCCCATTCCCACTCTCATTCCCCATTCCCCTCCCATTCCCACTCCCATTCCCACTCTCATTCCCCATTCCTGTTCCCACTCCCTTTTCTGTTCCCTTTCCTACTCTCATTCCCCAATCCCATCCCCATCCCCTTTCCCATTCCCACTCCTGTTCCCATTCCCCATTCCTGCTCCCCACTCCCTCTCCCATTCCCCATTCCCATCCCATTCCCACTCACTCCCATTTCCATTCCCATTCCCTGTTCTCACTTCCATTCCCCATCCTCATTCCCATTCCCACTCTCACTCCTGTTCCCATTCCCATCCCATTCCCACTCTCACTCCCTTTCCCATTCCCCATTCCCATTCCCTATCCTGTTCCCTTTCCTACTCTCATTCCCCATTCCCATTCCCATCCCCATCCCCATTCCCATTCCCGTTCCCATTCCCCATTTCCTTTCCCATTCTCTTTCCCATTCTCATTACCATCCCGTTCCCATTTCCCACTCCCATTCCCACTCTTATTCCCCATTCCCATTCCCTCTCCCATTCCCATTCCCCTTTCCCTTTCCCATTCTCATTGCCATTCCCATCTCATTCCCATTTCCATTCCACATTCCCATTCCTGCTCCCATTCCCGTTCCCATGCCCCATTCACTTTCCCATTCCCTTTCCCATTCTCATTGCCATCCCATTCCCATTTCCCACTCCCATTCCCACTTTCATTCCCGTTCCCATTCCCATTCCCCATTCCCATTTCTGTTCCCATTCCCACTCCCACTTCCATTCCACATTCCAATTCCCTATTCCCATTCCCACTCCCATTCCCATTCCCATCCCCACTCCCATTCCCATTCTCACTCTCACTCCTGTTCCCATTCCCCATTCCCATCCCATTCCCACTCTCATCTTTTTCCCACTCCCATTCCCCATTCCCATCCCCATCCCTATTCCCATTCCCACTCCGACTCCCATCCCCACTCCCATTCCCACTCTCATGTGGATGTGGCACCAGGGGACAGGGATCAGCACTGGGAATGTTGGATTTTGGGATAGTGGATAATTCCTCCATGTCCAAGCAGAAAAGGAGTGTCCAAAATTCCCAAATCCATGGGGACAGATCTTTGGGATGCCACGCTCCATATCCATACCACCACCACGATGAACAGGAAGTTTGGGATCCTTTCCATCCTGGAGAAAAAACTCCCAGTCAAGATTTCCCTTTTTTTTTTTTTTTCCCCCAACCCCTCCATTAAATTTATTAAATTAATTAAACATTTAATGTGCCATTAAATCCTTTGGGGGAAAAAAATGCATCCCGAGGACCCAGAAAATCAGGAAAAGGTTCAAACCAAAGGAGCAGGGGCTGCTGTGAATCCCAGGACAGATCCTCCAGCACCTGGAGATTTTTCCTGGATTCTGGGAATGTGAATTTT